TGATGCCATGGCACTCTACCCAGGGGGGATAGCTTGAGGCTCCGTCTCAAAAAAAAGAAAAGCTTTTGCATTGTGATTTGCACAAGAACTTCCTAGCTTTTCTTCTGTAACTCCAAGACATAGGGCCATTTTATAATGTTATACATAATAGTTGCAGTATTGTGTGCAACACCAACAGTGGGGAGGAAACTATCAGCGCAGAGAAAATCAGAGCAAGCATTTTCATGTGCTTCAACATTTTAAAGGTCAAATCTCAATACTTGCAGATGTTTTATATTAAAAATAAAACATTTCTGTGTTACTTTCAGTATTTTACATAGTTAATCGATAGAGTGAAAGAGTTTTTTATCAGTCATTACGGACATATTCTGGCAAAGTCAGATTTTCAGCATTTGTTCAGCTACTGCTAGATGATAAAGGAAGTTTTCTGTTGCTGGTGGAAATTGTTTCTGCCTTAGTGCCTCCAAATTGAGGACTTGCTTTTCTCCATCATCTGAAGCTTCTGAAATCAGTGCTAGGTTGGCGAAGATTTCTCTGTTTTTTAGGGCAATATTCTGTATAACCTGGCTGTCTGATTTTCTCTGGATCTTCTACAGACTGAACAATTAGCTGACCAATTTCTTCGTGTAATTTGCCTATTGTCATGGACTACTCTTTTGCAAGTGAGCAATGGTAATTTCACGATCTGCCAGCTTCACAAACACATCGTACAGTTCTGGTCTGTTGCTTACCTCCAAGTCTATAGACCCAGCGACATAACCTGTGCACATCTGCTGGGCTTCCAGTTCATCTGCAATGAGGTACACATAAAAATGAAGAATGGGAGTGGCGCCTTTGGCTCAAGGAATAGGGTGCCATCCCCATATAAAGTGTGGTGTCATCTTTCCACGATAGCCACTCTAAGAAATCTGCAACTTATCTAATTCTAAGCTGCTGTTGTCTCCTTTCCTTTTCTCTCTGTTCTTGTGGGCTTATGCCTTTTTAAAAATACCTGTAACATCATTTTAGTGCAGTTTTAGGAGCTGCAGGTAAGGGTATATATACAATTATGTTAGTCTATAAAATTATATATATCGGATCATACTCCCTATACTGTTTAATGACCTGCTTTTTAAAATTTAACAATATGTGAATTACTTTCCATATCAATATTAAGTGCTCTCTGTTGTCCTTTTCATAGTAGCATTTTTGTTTGTTGGTTGGTTGGTTCTAAGCAGAATCTCACTCTATCACTCTGGGGTTGTGTCGTGACATCATAACTCACAGCAACAAACTCTTGGTCTTGAGCAATCCTCTTGCCTCAGCCTCCTAAGTAGCTGGGACTTAAGGCTTGTGCCACTACACCTGGTTAGTTTTTTTTTCTCTTTTTAGTGGAGATGGGATCTTGTTGTTGCTCATACTGGTCTGAAACTCCTGAGCTCAAACAATCCACCCGCCTGGGCCTCGCATAATGCTAGGATTATAGACATGAGCCACCGCACCTGGCCTCTTTGTTTTTAAGACAGGGTCTCACTCTGTTGCCTGGGCTAGAGTACAATGGTACCATCTTAGCTCTGCAACCTTAAGCTCCTGGCCTCATATGATCCTCCTGCCTCAGTCTCTCAAAGCACTAGGATTATAGGCATGAGCCACCACACCTGGCCTGCATAGCAGTTTATTTGTAACTGCTTTTTTAAAAATAGATCTTACATGGTACAGAACCATCATTTAATTATCAAGTTTCCTGTTAAGCGAACATTTTTAAAAATTTCAAACTTTTGCCATTAAAACAATGCTATCACATTATACATAAGTGTTGTCATATACATTCAATTATTTTCTGAGGATAAAATCCGTTAAAGGGGAAATTCTAGGTCTGTGGATTTACATAAAATTTTGGCATTTATTCCTATTTTGTCCTTGAGAAGTTGCCCTTCCCGTAGTCGTATGTAAGCATGCTTTTTACTCATACCCACACCATGCTAAACATTACAATACAGTCTTTTCATTGTTGCTTCGCCTATAAATGAAATTAGAAAACATTTTAATTATAATTTTGTTATTGGTAATGTTGAATATTTGTATGTGTTTTTTATGGGTCAATTATATTTCTTCTTTTGTGACTTGTCTGCTATGTTCTATACACAGGTGTTTCTCAAATTTAATATGTGCACAAACCACAGTCACTCAGCAATCTGAGTAAAATCTCTGAAATTACCTGTCTTCATTTTAAATCTATTAAGTGTTCTATTAGCCAAGCATGGTGGTGGGTATCTGTATTCCTAGCTATTCAGGAGGCTGAGGTAGGAGGATCTCTTGAGCCCAGGAGTTTGAGGTTGCAGTGAGCTATGATGATCCCACTGTACTACAGCCTGAGTGACAGAGCAAGAGCTTGTCTCTAAAAAATAAACACATGAAAGGGTCAGGTGCGGTGGTTCATGCTTATAATCCTAGCGCTCTGGAAGGCCAAGGTATGTGGATCACTTGAGTTCAGGAGTTAGAGACTAGCCTGAGCAAGAATGAGACCCTGTCTCTAAAAATATCTGAGTGCTGTGGTGGGCACTTGTAGTCCCAGCTACTTGGGAGGCTGAGGCAAGAGGATGGCTTAAGCCCAACAGTTTGAGGTTGCTGTGAGCTATGACATCATAGCCCTCGACAAAATACAAATCTATCTCAAATAAATAAATAAATAAATAGGCCAGGTGCAGTGGCTCACATGTGTAAGCACTCTGGGAGGCTGAGGCAGATGGATTGCTTGAGCTTGGGTGTTTAAGACCAGCCTGAGCAAGAGTGAGACCCCATCTCTAAACATATTCAGGTGTTGTGCTGGACACCTATAGTCCCAGCTACTTGGGAGGCTGAGGCAAGAGAATCAGTTGAGCCTGAGAGTTTGAGGTTGTTGTGAGATATGATGCCATGACACTCTATCAGGGGGGACAATGTGAGACTCTATCTCAGAAAAATAAATAAATAAACAAACACATGAATAAATAATAAAATAGAATATAGATTCTGATTTAAAAGATCTGGGGTGAGGCTTGAGACTCTTCATTTCTTTTTTTTTTTTTTTGAGACAGAGTCTCAAGCTATCACTGAGTAGAGTGCTGTGGCATCACAGCTCACAGCAACCTCCAACTCTTGGGCTCAAGCAATTCTCCTGCCTCAGCCTCCCACACAGCTGGGACTACAGGCACCCACCACAACACCAGACTATTTTTCTGTTGCAGTTGTCATTGTTGCTTTAGCTGGCCCGGGCTGGATTTGAACCCGCCAGCCTCAGTGTATGTGGCTGGTGCCCTGCCCACTGAGCTACAGGCACCACTGAGACTTCATTTCTAACCAGCTCCCAGGTGATGTCAGTGCTACTGGTGTTCAGCCCATGCTTTGAATAGCAAGCCTTTAAGTTTTCTATGCCTAAGAGCATAGTATATATTAAGAATAACACATGGATAAAAATACTTTTCTGGGTTGTTATTTGTCATCGAACTTTATGATAAATTTTGCCCTGGTTTTATATTTGTATGTAATCAAATATGTTAATAGTTTCCTTCATGACTTCTGGATTTCAAGTCTTCCCTCACTTCTCAGTAACTTTTAATGACCATGTCCTTCTATTCCTTTTCCCCATTGCTTTACTGTCCCCATCCTGATTACACTGCTGTTCTGCCTATGGCATAGTAGAACCGGAATGCATGTTCCAGCACAATTGGCAGAACTGCTGGTGCTCAGTTCTGCTCTGTGTCTTTTCTACAGGCAACAGACGCCCTTTATGAGGTGTTCGTGGGAAACCGGTTCCAGGCGGCTACATTCCGACTCTTTCCTCAGCTTCTTATGACACTTCTCATCCAGGTTCACCACAGCATCGGCCTTACCATGTCTGACGTGGCCATCCCAAGCAGCCTGTGCACGGAACAGGAAATGTCTTCAGAGGTCACCCCTTTGTGGTACTACCCATTATGAGTTCACCAATATAAAATAACACTTTAAGCACTGGGCACATCTATTGTTCTGTGCCTCCATTTCCTCATGTAAATGAGGAAGTCGGGCAAGGTGATCTCCAAAGACTTTTTCAGCTTTAAGATTCTCTGATGCAGGCTCGGCGCCTGTGGCTCAAGCGGCTAAGGCGCCAGCCACATACACCTAAGGTGGCGGGTTCGAATCCCCAGCCCGGGCCCGCCAAACAACAATGATGGCTGCAACCAAAAAATGGCCAGGCGTTGTGGCTGGCGCCTATAGTCCCAGCTACTTGGGAGGCTGAGGCAGGAGACTCGCTTGAGCCCAGGAGTTGGAGGTTGCTGTGAGCGTGATGCCATGGCACTCTACCCAGGGGGATAGCTTGAGGCTCCGTCTCAAAAAAAAAAAAAAAAAAGATTCTCTGATGCCATGTACAGGATAACAGTTCAATAAGTAGTTTTAAAAGCAGTGGAGAAGGCCGGGCGTGGTGACACATGCCTATAATCCTAGCGCCCTGGGAGGCCCAGGCAAGAGGACCACTTGAGCTCAGGAGTCCAAGACCAGCCTAATTAAGAGACTTCCCCATCTCTACTAAAAATAGAAAGTTAGCTGGGCATTGTGGCATGCACCTGTGGTCCCAACTACTTGGGAGGCTGAGGCAGAAGGATAAGTTGAACTCAGGAGTTTGAGGTTGTAGTAAGCTGTGATAATACCACTGCCTTATACCTGTGGTGATAGAGTGAGACTCTGTTAAAAAAAAAAAAAATGCTGGGCTGGGCCCCTGTAGTTCAGCAGCTAGGGTGCTGGTGGGTTTGAATCTGGCCCAAGCCAGCTAAACAATAATGACAACTGCAACAAGAAAATAGCTGGGCGTTGTGGCAGGTGCTTGCAGTCCCAGGTACTCGGAAGGCTGAGGCAAGAGAATCACTTAAGCCCAAGAGTTTGAGGTTGCTGTGATCTGTGACACCATAGCACTCTACTGAGGGCAACAAAGTGAAACTCCGTCTCAAAAAAAAAATCTGAAGGCCAGGTGCAGTGGCTCACACCTATAATCCCAGCACTTGGGAGGCTGAGGCAGATTGATTGCCTGATCTCACAAGTTTGAGACCAGCCTGAGCAAAAGTGAGACCCTATCTCTACTAAAAATAGAAAAACTGGGACAAGAGGCTCTCTTGAGTCCAAGAGTTTGGGTTGCTGTGAGCTATGATGCCACAGCTCTCCACCCAGGGTGACAGTTTGAGACTCTGTCACAAACAAACAAACAATAGCAAAGCAGGGGGAGAGGCTGGTTTTGGTGGTTCATACTTATAATCCTAGCACTTGGGAGTCTGAGATAGATAGGAGGATTATGAAGGCCAGGAGTTTCAGACCAACCTGGGCAACATAGTGAGATCCCATTGCTATTTAAAAAAAAAATGAAAAGCAGGCTTGGTGCCTGTGGCTCAAGTGGCTAAGGTGCCAGCCACATACACCTAAGGTGTCAGGTTTGAATCCAGCCTGGGCCCGCCAAACAACAATGATGGCTGCGACCAAAAAATAGCCGGGCGTTGTGGCGGGCACCAGTGGTCCCAGCTACTTGGGAGGCTAAGGCAGGAGACTTGCTTGAGCCCGGGAGTTGGAGGTTGCTGTGAGCTGTGATGCCAGGGCACTCTACCCAGGGGGACAGTTTGAGACTCTGTCTCAAAAAATAAATAAATAAATAAAAGCAATGGAGATAGATTTGATGGGGTTTAATAGCATCTCAATAAAGCTTTACAAAAATAGTGGGCATCAGTTTAGCATTCTAGATCATTTGTTTTACAGTCTATTTCCTTCCAAACTCCTGGGGAAATAAGATTTTAGTTAGATTTCTCTATGCTGACAACTTGTGTGAAGAGCCTTCCGAGTTATTGGAGTATTAAGAGTCTTGAGAAATCTAGAAAGGAGAGAATTGCCAGTTGTCAATCTGTGACCGTCCTCAGTGAGAGCAGGGTAATTGTGTACTTGTAAGTTGGAGGGACTTATTAAATTCACCCATACTATTTTGTTTGATTTAGCTTTGCCATGCAGGCTATAAAGACTCTCCTCCTCAGAACACTGTGCTGGCAGGAATTCAGCATCATGGAAAAGCATAAAGGATGGACTCTTCTGGAAGGAAAAGATTGCCATCTTCAGGGGGTATTTCTCCTTGCCAAGTAAGGCTTCCTTGTCCTGCATACACCCACCTGTTCTAAATCAGTAGTGTTTGGTTTCCCTTTAGTTCCCTTTTAGTTATCATAGCAACTAAGATTGGATAACCTTCTCATAACAGAGTAGGCAAATATCTATAATGCTGGGGAAATGTTTCGGATGTCCTGGTCCTGCCATATCCTCTATACCTAACGATGGGCAAAAAATTCAGAGGGTCTCTCCATACTCTCTGTATGGGAGCATTTCTGGGAGTCATTCTGTTGGAATTGTGTTTTTCAGTGCATTGCTGGAAAGAAATCACCTCCTTGCACATAAGGTCATGTACTTGTTAGTCCCTCTTCTTAACCGAGGGAATGATGAACATAAACTCACATCTGCAGGCTTTTTTGTAGAGGTAAGACTCATTCTTTTTTTTTTTTTCCTAGAGACAGAATTTCACTTTATCACCCTCGGTAGAGTGCTGTGGCGTCACAGCTGACAGCAACCTCCAACTCCTGGGCTTAGGCGATTCTCTTGCCTCAGCCTTCCAAGTAGCTGGGACTACAGGCACCCACCACAATGCTTGGCTTTGTTGTTGTTGTTGTTGGAGTTTGGCTGGGGCCAAGTTGGAACCCGCCATCCTCAGTATGTGGGGCCAGTGCCCTACCCACTGAGCCACAGGCACCGCCCATAAGACTCATTCTTTAGGAGCTGGATTCAGGCTACTTGGGAGACTGAGGCAAGAGGATCACTTGAACCCAGGAGCTTGAGGTTGCTGTGAGCTACAATGATGCGATGGCACTCTACCTGGGGTGACAGAGTGAGATTCGATCTCAAAAAAAGAAAAAAAAATGGATTCAGGCAGGCTATAAAGCAATATCTGCTTTCCTAGGCCATATCCAACTGAGTAGAAGGCTGGATCCATTTCATATGTGGTATAGAAATATTTTTCAGATTCACATTTACTGAAATTCTTCTTTCCACACATTCATATTCAGTATGTCTTTCAGTATTTCTTTGTGTACCTATAGGCATCACCCTGTAAGGGATGTGATCTCTTGTAGAAACTTCAAAGGAAAATATGGTTTGTTTGGGGTTTTTTGAGACAGAATTTTACTTATTAACCCTCAGTAGAGTGCTGTGGCATCACAGCTCACAGCAACCTCCAACTCCTTGGGCTTAACACGATTCTCTTGCCTCAGCCTCCTGAGTAGCTGGGACTACAGGCACCCACCACAACACCTGGCTATTTTTTTGTTGTAGTTTGGCCGGGGCTGGATTTGAACCCACCACCCTCAGTATATGGGGCTGGCACCTTACTCACTGAACCACAGGTGGCACCCAAAATATGGGTCTTTAAGTTGGTAAGAAGTTGGCTTTCCTCATGAAAAAAGGCTTACAGGTAATTTCTTGTCTGATTTCTGGGTTATTTCAGCTCCTCCGGAGTCCACTGGCTAGAAGACTACCTAGTATATACTCCACTGTCCGCTTGATAGAATGGCTACATCATGGAAGTTATCTTTTTAGGATTCTTGCCCTGAGAGGACTGCGCAATCTTACCAGACACCAGGAGATGGTAGGAGGTTCCCCCAGACCACTGATTCTTAAGTTTCAACTAAGATATCCCAAAAAGATACCAAAGAAACTGATACAGCTGAGAGCAGCCTAGGGACAGATGTGGGTGGAAGAGGGTCTTTTTTGCTGCGTATCCTTTGTGCCATTTGAATTTATACCTAGGAATGTGCAAGTACTATTTAAAAAGTTAATGAAATTAAATTAAATAAAAAATAAAAGTTATATATGTTCATAATATTTGACATCTGAAATTTACGGGGAAAATATACTCAGTATCATCACAACCTGAACATGTCCCTTTATCCCTTAGGTATATCTGAAGCAAAGATGACCAATACCGTTATATATTAATTCTGGTTTTTGGATGCATTAATATCTGTTGCTTTATTCTACTTACTTTTTTGCATGTATGTTTTAAACTCCTAGTGCTTCCTTTCAGGCGTTTAGAAGAGCAGAATCCTGATTCAGAAGGGGAAGGACCCTAAGGGTCCTCAGTCAAATTCTGCTTGAATTTCTGTCAAGAGATCTTAGAGCCCCTGGTTAGACACCTTCCATACTTGAGAACTCACTGTGACCTGAGCTCACTGTTCCATTTTCATCGTTAGAACTCTTCCTTATAGTGAGCTGAGGTCCACATCCTACATCTTCCCTATCTGTCCCACTTCTGCCCTGTGAGGCAACTCACAACAGCCCTCCTCCTCCTCTACATATCAGGCCTGCCAATACCGAGGGAGGACAGTCGTGTCCTCTTCTCCATTCTGAACTATCCAGCCCTACCTAAAATTCATTAAGCACTAGGTACTGCATAAAGGTGGGGACCCTCCCTGGGGTACCAGATGCCATGCTGTCAGGAGAGGAGGTGATGCTTTCCCTTTGGATACACAGAGGGAAGACATCAAGAGCCTGTTGCCATGCCTCTTAGACAGCTTATGTGAACCTGATGAAGAGATTGTTTTATTGGCCATGCAGATAATCCTGCCGCTTGTTGGGACCATGGATTTCACTACCCTGGCTGCCATGATGAGGACTCTGTTCTCCTTATTTGGTGATGTAAGACAATGAGAGAGAAGAGCCTTTCAGGGGGAGGATAATAATTGGCATAGCAGTAAGCAGAAGTGGGGATAGTAGTAAGTGCACTCAATTTACACATGACTTTTACTTTCAGAGCATTTTCAAATCCCCACTGTTGAGAACCTTCCAGGTAACCTGTGATGTTGGTAGGGCTGGTGTTATTGTTGTTTTTCAGATAAAAAAACCAGAGACATAGAAACTTGTTAAGGAACTGTCCTGCTTCATGGCTTAAGGAAGGAGAAAACATTTTATTTTTAAGTAACAATCAGAACTGAGTCAAGATGGTAGACCGGCTGGGTGTGGTGGCTCACACTTGTAATTATAGCACTTTAGGAGGCCAATGCAGAAGAGTCACGCAAGGCCAGGAGTTTGAGACCTGCAACATAGCCAGACTCTAGCTCTACAGAAAATAGAAAATATTATCTGGGCATGGTGGCACATGTCCATAGTCCCAGCTACTTGGGAGGCTGAGGCAAGAGGATCCCTTGAACCCAAGAGTTCTTTTGTTTTTTGTTTTTTTGAGACAGAGTCTCATTTTGTCACCCTTGGTAGAGTACCATGGCGTCATAGCTCACAGCACCCTCAGACTCCTGGGCTTAAGCAATTCTCTTGCCTCAGTCTCCCAAGTAGCTGGGACTATAGGTGCCTGCCACAATGCTCGGCTATTGTTTTTTTAGAGACAAGGTCTCTCTTTGGCTCAGGCTGGTCTCGAACCTGTGAGCTCAGGCAATCCACCTGCCTTGGCCTCCCAAGTGCTGGGATTACAGGCGTGAGCCACTGCACCTGGTGAGCCCAGGAGTTTGTCTTGGAAGAGTAAAACACACCTAGGCTGGGATAGGCTCAGGTTTTGAATTTCAGTCAAACAGCCTATGTGAATGGTTAATACCAGTATTAGGCACAAGCTTTACCAGCTATAGGTGGAACCTATGTCCCTTTCTCATTTGTAAAGTGAAAGACCAAGTAGTCCCAGAGCAGCAAGTCAGTTTACTGTCTACACATATATTTTATTTCTTGCCCTCAGGCACATAAAGCTAAATAGTCTCATGTTAACACTGGCCTTTCAACCCACCCAGAGTTTTTATAAGCTAAGCATGAAGCTGTTCAGTGAGTTGCTTCCCTCCGGATATTCCTTTCATAGGCAAGACCTGATGTCCGTCATTTCGCCATGGTTCTCTTTGGAGCTTCCATAAGGTCTGTGAAATACTCAGATAAGAAGATTATAGAGAACCAAGTTCTGGACAGCTTGGTCCCACTACTTCTGTATTCTCAGGATGAAAATGTTACCATCGCTGAGGTAACGCCTACCATCAACTTCTTTCAGCACTGAATAACTTCAAATCCAGAGCCAACTCTGCAAATAAGCATTCATGTCTTTATAGGCAGGGACTTTGTAGTACCATCTTTATTCCCCATTCCCTCTGGCCCAGCTGCCTTTCCATTATTTTGCCTAAATGAATTGTGTGAAAAATTTTACTTCTTATTTTTTCATAGCAAATTTTATGGGTAGGAGTGGGTGGGTAAGAATGATGTGTTATCCTTCTTTGTAGCCCCTTTCCTGATATTCAGCCTGGCACAGAGCCCTACATATAGCACTCAACTCAGTGAACTCTTTTGTTGATGATGATGATAATATTGTATCATATAGTCTTTCTTATTTCACTTCAAGAATTGCCTCATGGCCTTGAAACCATGAGATTTGTGTTGGGGCTAAATCTGAGATATTACCTTCTCTGAGAAGGTAAAGTCTAGAGAAGACTTTACCTCTCCTGACCTTCCAGAGTTTTTTGCCATAGAGTTGTGGTTTCCCATTTAAGTCATCCCAGTCTTTTTTTTTTTTTTTTTTTTTTTT